GCTTGCGGCCAAAATTTTCTATAACTTGGTATGTTTTGCTATCGTGATTACACATTTTTTTATCTCCTTCCTCATAGTTTGTTACCCGTTGGGTTTTAAACTTCGTTCATAGGACAGAATGTTTGATATTTCGATATATTTGAGTTGCGATCGGTACATGTTTGGATCGACCGTATGAATCCATCACTAGCAAAGAAGCTAGCACAAAAGAAAAAAAAAACAAAACAAAACAAATGACCCTAATGTGTTCATTGATAATATGTTAATCTTCTTTCACTACTAGAAAAGTTGGCATTTTCCTATAGATTATTTCGTGCGGAAACATTACGTTATAAAATACTCGCAGACAGAGCGAGAAGCCCTAATTTAGTGATGATTCGTGACGAAATAACAACGGACTTAAACGCCATCGAAAATATGTTGGTAAACACAATTGGAATACTGACAAACCACAATAAATGACTATTTTTTACTTGTCGTCACAACTTCATCACTATTAATTAAAAGTTAAATAACGAAATGTCGAGGTTCGGACTCGAGCCATTGTTGTTTGGTAGGGAAGCAACTACCACTACGGCTATAAGCCTCATCCTAAATACATTATTATTATTATTATTATTATTATTATTATTATTATTATTATTTGAGTTTTAAACTTAGTCTTTTCACTATGCTTTTATTCCATATATTTACAATGCATATGCACATAAATCTTTATTATTATTATTATTATTATTATTATTATTATTGTTGTTGTTGTTGTTATTGTTATTGCTGCATGTTATGTATGTAAGTATACATATAAAATTTATATGTATGCTTTTATATATATATATATATATATATATATATATATATAATAATAATAATAATAATAATAATAATAATAATAATAATAATAATAAATATGTGAAATAATGAAGCAAAAAATGTATATTTGCCACTTGAATAATGGAAAATGATGATGAAGATGATACTACTACTACTAAAGATGATGATGATGATGATGATAGTATCTCCGTCCCAAATTGATTGTCTATATTTGACTTTTGAAGTTTTTATTCTCCAACTTTTACCTTATATATATATATATATATATATATATATATATATATATATATATATATATATATATATATATATATATATATATATATATAATATTTAATGCAAAATATATAAATATATTGTATTTAAATGTCTTTCTATTGTTATAAGTTTCATCAAATAATATATACAACAAATATAAATATTTAAAGTCAAAATTGAAGAAAAAAGACTTCAAAAATCAAAAGTGGACAATTAATTTGGGAATGAGGGAGTAATAATAATAATAACTACAACAGTAACAATACATGCATGTGGATTTATGTATGAATGCAGTGTTGTTAAACTCGTCGAATTGTCTGATTACTCGTCCAAGTAATCTATACTCGGCCCCTTATCGAGACGAGTTGCAAAATCTGAGTACTTCCCGATCAGCCCCATACTGAAACGAACAATATTGTAAAACTCGGCCAACTTGATGATTAATATGTATAATATACTTAATGATTTATTATTTAACATACACACATGTGATTATTACTACATATATATCTTAAATTTTCATTAATTATTCACGAAGTGACATCATGTGTGTTTTTTAGTTTTTGTATATTCACATGTATCTAATTTTGTTATATATTTCAATTAAATTATGGTTTTAACTTATGATTTTGACATATATAATTTCCCTAAAAGTATTTCTACATCAATTACTGAATCCGAGTACTCCCTGAGTACTCGTTACTCGGTAGTCGGTCGAACAGGTACGGAGTAGCGAGTTCTACAATCATGTATGTATGTATACATAATGTGTATATGTTTGTGAATGTGTGTGTCTATATATATATATATATATATATATATATATATATATATATATATATATATATATATATATATGCATCTGAAAATTTATGAGAATGTGTGTGTATATATATATATATATATATATATGTATATATGTGTGTGGGTGTGTGTGTGTGTGTGGGGGGGGGGGGGAGGGGATCAGGAATCTACCTCAGATAGCATCATTTGGAGGTATCAAGTCGTCACCTTTACTTCATTCTTCTTCTAGACCTCTTTTGGTTGAGATCTAGGGTTTTTATGGTTTGGTTGAGATGATAATGCGAGATATGAGCTAGATCTGAAGTTGTAACTTTAGATCTGGACCCTTCTTAGGGTTCTAAAGTCATAAAGCCTCGAATATGGTCATGTATGAAGCCTCTTTGAAGTATGAAACCCCATTGTGAGCTTGGATTTGACATTTGGAGCCTTTGTAGCTATGCATGCACGTAAAGTTTGCAACTTTACGTGAAAAGCATGCCTTAGAAGCTTGGATCTATAATTTGGAGTCACTGCATGAATTAAAAGAGTCTGTATGGCTTAAGGACTGTAGGAACTCGGCGATTCGCAAGGTTGACTCGGCGAGTCTCACGAAGATGAGCCTGGACCCGACGAGATGTATGAGCAACTCGGCGAGTCCGATATAGATTGTTGTAGACTCGACGAGTTGGATGAACAACTCGACGAGTCAGATGAGCTTTCCCAAATTTATGCATGCGTGTGTAACCGTCGAGTTGCAAGAAGGAAAACTCGACGAGTGGCCTTAGAGTTCGATTGTAAACTAAAGGAACTCGATGAGTCACTCCGTGACTCAGCGAGTGGACAGTATTTCAAGGAACTCGGCGAGTAGTCGAGGGTACTCAACGAGTTAAGGTCAACATGGACTGTTGACCTTGACTGATGACTTTGATTTTGACCAGGGTTTGATTAGTTGACTGTTGGGGTACCTTGAAAGGTTGGGAACTTATGACTATGATTATGCTATGGTATCAGGTGGTGGAGTTTGGGGAGGTGATCTGAGGGTTAAAGTTTAACTACCAAGTCGACATTTGCAAGGTGAGTTATCCTCACTATATCAATAGGGTCTAAGGCACCAAGTCGGCCCTTTAGTTGTTATTGTTATGGTATGCTACCTATGGTTATGATATGTTATATCAGAATCAGGATAGATAGTATGTTATGCTCTTATGATCCGTAAGGGTTGGTATGATAGTGACCTGCTAGGTCGATGCTCTAGTTATGAGAGATTGCTATGATTGATGATCAGTGAGATATATATGTCTGTGTTTATATATGCCAGTATATGCTAGTTATGCGCACATGGTTGTTTGCGTGTTGTTTGGGTTGAGGCAGTCCTGCTTTGTGCTAAAGGCCAACACACCCTATGAGCGGTCCGGGGAGACTGTAGGCCCACGTGGCAGTCCAGTTATGTCGAAGGCTTGGGACAGATTCAAATAGATTATAGGCCCTGCAGGGCGGTCCAGTCAAGCCGATGGTCCAGTATGCATGTTGTTGATTGTCTGTTATTGATATGGTATAATCAGTGTGGTATTTGTATTTTGGGGGTAGCTCACTAAGCCCTTGGGCTTACAATTTCAGTTTATTGTTTCAGGTACTTCAGGAGATCATGGCAAGGCAAAGGCGTGACCGTACCGCTCTTCATCCTTTTGATCTAGTTATTGGGACACTCCGATGAATAATGATTTGAAAACATTGGGACACTCCGATGAATAATGATTTGAAAACATTTTGTAAACAAATACTATTTGATTTTATCTATGATTGAAAAAGTTTAAATTTGGCGTAAAATTTTTGGATGTTACAGTGAAAATGATTGGAGAGGTGGTGCTGGTTTAACTATTAAGAGTAAGCCATGATAGGTTCGTCTCCAGAAAGGAGAATGGATTTGGAAATTGAAAAGGAGGAAATGATAGATTTTCTGTGATAAAACAAGAGAGGCTGATGGGTTTGTGTCCGGAAAGAAATGCTCAAATGTGATATTACTTTCCAATGGCTAATGTGACAATTTTTGACTATTTGTCAATAAAACCGGGAAAAAGAGGTGAAGATGGCTAAATAAACAAGTTCCCACTACTTGGTTCCCTTATTAGGCCAAAAAATAAATAAAGTGGCTAAATGGGTAAATCCTAAAAGTATTATAGGGTCTATATGTCATTTTCCCTTTGTATTATTATTATTATTATTATTATTATTATTATTATTATTATTTTGCGATGATTGATTATTGTGTGTTGAAACATGAACAATTGACGAACTTTGAATCAAAACGCAAATTGAAGAACAGTTGTCGGTCTTTATCGATTCAATTTAACAGACAATTCACCAAGTAATCCACCAAATAATTCTTAGTTTTATTCTTTAAAAACAAGTTGTCAGTCTTTATCGATTCAATTTAACAGACAATTCACCAAGTAATCCACCAAATAATTCTTAGTTTTATTCTTTAAAAACATCTGTATTTACAATTTTAATGTGTATTCGTAGAGATGTTTAATGTATTATTAGACGGTATTTATTAGTTTTATTGTAATATTATTAGTTTTGTGGTTGAATATTATAGGTTTAATGTAACAGGTTTTTCAATATTTTGGATAAAAAGAACCGGAGCTTCTATAAATTTTTACTGCTTCAAAAAGAAACTTTTAGTGACGGATTACTGACGGAAATATCCATCACTAAAAATGCTGTTGGAAATCCATTGGGAAACAAGGTTAATTAACGTGCTTCCATCGCTATTCTGTAGGTGATTCTGTACCATCGCTATTCCGTTAGTAACTAGCGACAGATTTGACGGTCAGTATAGTTAGTCGGTAAAAATTACCCATAAGCTGAAATGTGACGTCCTTAAAACTGTCGCAAAATCGTTGGTAATTCCCTTTACCGAAGGAATAACCACGGGTTTCCTGTTTTTCTAGTAGTGTTTATTTATCTTTTTGTTTCAAATTTATGAATTACATCCGGTGATCCGAATAATATAGGACTCTATTATATATACTCTCTATTTCCTAAGTTTAATACAGTAGACCGATTAATATGACATTGAGGAGTTGCAACTTATCATCATAACAAGATAAAAGTAACTTACGAACCATTTTCTTTGTAGGTGCTTGACTGACTTGACTTGTATTTTGCGTGGAAAAAGCAAGATACCTGAAGGAGTATCAAAGCCCTAGGGAATTAACTTTCTGTTCATAACTTAATATACATGGATGCTTCATTTATAATTATAAAATATCTAGATAAGACAAGCTTACCGAAGCACATTCTGAAGATGGCACCCACAAGTTAGAGCTACCCGTGTCAAAGATCACATTGAACTTTTGAGGTGGGGTGCCGATTCCAATCTCACCGAAGTATTGAGCATTCATATAGTTCCTCAATGCAACAATATCAGAGTCTTCGGAATCACCAAGATTATTAGCACTTTGTCTATACTTCCTAATAGACATCGTTAAGTAATCACCATCATTCAAGCCAAGGTGTGAAGCAAAACGATCGATTCGCTCAAATTTTACTCTTTTTAGTCCAATCCTAACAATCCCATCGGTTGATGTGGAAATTACTACTGGAGTACAGAAAAGGGTTGACAAGAAGAGGAAAATTGCTAGGGTGTCGTATGCACTTGTCATGTTGACCTGCATGTCAATCCACCTTTAAGATTTGATTAGCATATGTTAAAAAGTATTTAACAAAGCAACAAAACTTGATCAGTTAAGAGTTTAAGCTTAGATAATATAAACTCAAGATGTAAAAATGCATTTGATTAATGGCAAACTACGAATTCGGGATATAAGAAGCAAAGAAATAATAAACAGTTTATACCGGTTTCTTCTTCTGCGGAAAAATCTAACCCGAAATTGATTGCATGCAAGCTCAAGTACCCTTGACCTATAATGGGGAAAAATATTAAAAAAAGTAATAAAATATTGACTGAACTAATTCCAGTAAATCGCAAGGATTTTAGGGTTCATATAGAGTGAATGAATATATATTGCTAACGCAATGCACAATACGTCTCAATTGCAGCCGTCCAATTCCTCGGTTACGTGATCTCTTCCGGCTTCTAGTAGATACAGAATTGTCACTCTTGTGATCTTTTATGATTTGCCCAAAAAACACGTTACAGTTTGGAATTTAGAGCATTTGCCCCTAATATATAGTTTTGACCTATGTTTTAGATGGATAATTTTAAGAGATAATGAATTGAGAGGGTAGCGGACTTTATCTTTTGTTTATATTTGATCAATAAATTATTTTTCGTGTTTTTTAGTAACTCTTGAACTTGTTGAAACGTGTATATCATACCAGTATGACTGGTAATAGTGGGTTTTATGGTTTCCGATGTTTCCGGCTAAACATGATGTATATGATCATCATCACTAGTCAAACTCAATTTTCCGGCGATGTTTCCGGCCAATCAATCAGTCAATCCCTGTAGAAATCGGAAATCGGATTGAAGCAGCAAAACACTCTCCCTTTCTCTTTTTTATGCCTTGTTAATGGCCAAGAACACCTCATTTGGAGGTGTTGTTTCCTTGAAAATCATCAAGAGGCATCAATCTCTTGCTCCACGTCCTTCCTGTCGATTGAACCAACAAAACACCCTTTGAAAATGGTTGTTACGTTCTGCTCCTTTCCTCTTTCCTTCAATTTCAATCAAGAAAACCTCCACTGGAGGTGGTGTCTTCCGACAGTCAAGAGAGCAATAGGCCCCCGCCTGTTTTTCTCCTCCCATCTCGTCGGATCCACAACATCAGACTCCCTCAGATCATCGTTGCTCTGCCTTGCCCCTTCCCTTCGTGTTTTCTGCTGACATTATAAGAAGAACAACCAAGGAGGCTGCCGAAGTCCGTCAGAAGAACAAACACTGAGGTTATTGCTGAAGTCCCTCAGATCAATATTTGGAGCCTTTCCAGAAAATGGAAAATTTGCTTCATCAAAACGTGCATGATGAGTGATGTACACACGACTTGTTGTTGGATCTAAACACTTGTATCCTTTATAGTGAGCATTGTAGCCAATAAAAATACATTCTATACTTCTTGGTTCAAGCTTATGAGATGAGTAAGGCCTTAAGTATGGAAAAACTCGACATCCAAATACACGGAAATTGGTGTAGTTTGGAGTGGAGTGATATAAAAGCTCGAACGGAGATTTATTAGCTAAGACTGGACTTGGCAAACGATCAATGATGTGGGCGGCAGAGGAAAAGGCATCTACCCAAAATATAGCAGGAACATTGGCACCATACAAAACTGCTAAGCCAGTTTCAGTTATATGGCGATGCTTTCTCTCGGCGCGACCATTCTGTTATGGGGTATAGGGACAAGATAGCTGGTGATGAGTACCATTTTCCAAGAGGAGTTTATTAACGTGATGATTAACAAACTCGGTGCCACCATCGCTTTGAAAAACCTTCAGTTTGCAAGAGAATTGTGTTTGAACAAACGCAAGGAATATTTTTAATATCCCAAAAAATTCAGATTTAGCCCTCAAAGGATAAAACCATATGAAACGAGAGAAATCGTCTATAAAAATAGCATAAAATCTAAATCCTTCTGTAGAGGTTATCGGGGCTGGTCCCCATAAATCACAATGAACTAAATCCAGAACTTTCAAAGCACGCTTTTCATTTGAATTGAAAGGTAAATGGCGTTGTTTAGAAAGTTGACACGAAGAATAAATCACAGGTTTAGGTAAGAGTGAAGTAACAACTAAACAAGTATTTTTATTTAAATAAGAAATAATGTCAAATGCTACGTGACCCAAACGTTGATTCCATGTCTCGAACGATGCTTTGGAAGAAGGAATAGTAGAAGCCAATAAAGCTTGATGCTCCGAACTTAACATGTAAAGCCCATCCTTATGCTTGCCTTTTGCCAAAATTTGCTTGGTTTGGGTGTCCTAAATAGCAAAGTAATAACGGGAAAAAATGACATCAACCGGTAAGTCTTTCGTCAATTTACTCACAGAAAGTAGATTCTTTTTGAGATGTGGTACAATAAGAACATCACGTAAAGGCAATCTAGAAGAAAGTGATTTAGTGCAAACTCGAGAGATAGGAAGAATAGTACCATTATCGAAGGCAACATGTTCTGGATCATGATAGGGTATGGAGGAGTCCACATGGGCAGACGAAGGATCCATATGGGTTGTAGCACCTGAGTCGATATACCAATCGGGTGTGGAATTTAAGCGACAATCTGATTGAAAAGCTTCAGTGAGATTTGCTGCAGAGTAAGAGGATTGGCGACCATAATTTGGTAATTCGGGACACATATTAGCATAGTGACCATTATGCCTACATAATTGACAATGGGGAGGACGCCGACCTCGACCACGACCTCCGGATGAATTGTTACGACCACCAGAAGAACATCCAGACTTACCACATCCACGAGAAGCATGCAAGTGATTAGAAGGATGATGAGTAGTATTGAAAGCAGCAGGAGATGGTGATGGTCCGTGTAAGGACGCGATGAACAACTCATGATCTTCCGCAAGGGCTAGCAAATCACGATAATGAGGACGAGGTTGAACGGCTCTGTGGGTTGTTGAGAAAGTCTCAAAAGCCGGTCCTAATCCACGTAAAAACCAGTGGGTCTTGTCATCATCGGACACAGAATGACCAATAGTGGTGAGTTGGTCACAGATGGATTTGAATTTCCTGCCATACTCAGAGACAGAGAGAGTCTTTTCTTAATTGACGGAGAGAATCCTTGAGGTTTTGAGCCCTTTCAGAAGATGAGTGGCTGTAAGCGGCTTCTAGTGCACACCATAAGGATCGAGAAGTGGTAAGACCAATGACCTCAGGCATAGATTCTTCGATGAGAGACGACTGTAGGAGAAGCATTATCTTTTGATCTGTGGCAAGCCAGGAGGTGTATTCTGGATTAGGGTTTGTTTTGTCTGCAATAGTGATGGTTGGCGGTGGAGCCGGATACGACCCATCAACAAAACGGAACCAATCTTGATAGGTTAGAAGAGGTAGAGCTTGATTACGCCATGATAAATAATTTGATGGGGTTAATTTTATGGTGAGCATGTGGAGGAGGGTAGCCATAGGTAAAGAGGTTTTAGGGGAGGAAGAAGGGGTCGACATTGTTGAAGATGGAACAAGGAACAGAGCCAACAGAGATGAATAGGGTTAGGACCAGGAATTAGGCTGATACCATATTGATGGAAATAAGTTTTCAACGTAATTCATAATTCTATTGATCGAGAATATTAAATAGAAACGTGGGTACAAGTATAAAAGGAATATACAATCTAGAAATATCTAGAGGGAATAAAACAAATAATATATTTATGGATAATATATTCAATTACTACTAAGCCCAACTCCAACCAAACCGCAACCACAACCAACTTTAAAATCCTATAAAATTTCTTATGCAAAATAAAAAATCTCTGATACGATCCATGATAAAGAAAATAAAAATATAAAATGCAAAACTAATTAAAAAGAGCTAAAAGTTTAAAATAAACTAATAAAAATAAGAAAATAAAATAACTATCAATTTTATTACTAAATAAATTATTAAACGATGTATCAACCTTTTCTATTTTATGAAACATATAAAGTAGTAATAATATATTTTTATTATATGATATAAATCTCTTATAATTGAAAGATATGCCAATGTGTTGCTTTATTATAATAAGAAAAAATATATTATATTTTGATGGCAAGTATATCGAAGTAATGATATACTTTTTTTTTTTCTTTTTCCGAAATAGTATGAAAACAAAATCTACTATGGTTTAAATAAATAAGACAAAAAAGACGTACAGTAAAGAAAAAGAATAAATAAATTTAAGTAAAGTGGTTCAAAATTAAAATGATTATTGCTTAAATATAAAATAAAAAAGAAATATAACTATTAAACAAATAAGAAAAAAAGAGACGTTTGGTAAAAAAAAAAAAAAGATGAGTTTAAATAAATGATAATTACTTGTGAGGGTAACGTACTTTAACTTTTGGTTATATTTGGTCACTAAATTATTTTCCGTGTTTTATTAACACTTGAACTTGTTGAAACATACTTGAACTTGTTGAAACATATACATTATACCAGTACGACCGGTAATAATGAGTTTTTACGGTTTCCGATATTGTTTCCAGCTAAACATGAGTTTTTTGATCTCCTTCTTCGGTTAAACTCAATTTTCCGACGATGTAACCGACAAGTCAATCCATGTAGAAATCGGATTGAAGCAGCAAAACACTCTCGCTTTCTCCTTTTTCTACCTTGTTAATGGCCAAGAATACCTCCTTTGGAGGCGTTGTTTCCTCGAAAATCATCAAGAGACAACAACCTCTTGCTCCACCTCCTTCCTGTCGATTGAACCAACAAAACACCCCTTAAAAATTGTTGTTCTATTCTGCTTCTTTCATCCCTCCTTCAATTTTAATCAAGAAAACCTCCAGTGGAGGTGGCGTCTTCTGACAATGAAGAGAGCAAGAGGCCCCCGCCTTTTTTTCTCCTCCCTTCTCTTCGGATCCACAAGAGCAGACTCCCCCCGATCATCGTTGATTTGTCTTGCCCCTTCCTTCGTGTTTTCTGCCGGCATCAAAAGAAGAGCCCTTGAGCTTAGGTCTATAACATCCCAAAATTTCATGTCTAAAAATTTCATTTTTAATTAATGGATTTGCAAAACATTTGTAAGTAACAATGTGAAATCATATCATCTCATAAACAACGTATCATGTCTGAAACCCCAAATACTGAAAATAATAACATGTCAGAGTACAATCCCAGAATATCTCATAATGCGGAAGGTAACGAGAGTGTGTATGATGTGCAGCTACCGCGCCAGCTCCTTCCCCTTTGCTGAAGTGGTACCTGAAAGCAAAACTGTAAACCGTAAGCACAAAGCTTAGTGAGTTCCCCCAACGTACCACATACCATACAATCACATGTCATACATACGGCCAGACAATTCTGGGGTGCCCGACCTACCCGGTACATCCATTTTGGGGTGCCGACCTACCCGTGTCAAGCCCTTCTGGGGTGCTGACCAACCCATGTCAAGCCGTTCTGGGGTGCTGACCTACCCTTCGGTCCTAACAACCGAACCTCGGGGACTATTTCACCCCTACTGCTACTATCACATATATCATAACATAAACATACTGTCAGACATATCTGGGGTGTCAGACCTACCCTTCGGTCCTAACAACCAAACTTGGGGACTATTCCCCTCCTACTACCACTATCACATATTACATATCATGCCAGCATATAACATATCAGGTAGTAGCAAACCTAGATGATATCACAAAGACCTTCATCTAACATACAACTCCTACTGGTGGGCCGACATTGTGGTCGTAGACCCACCGCTACTGGCTGCTATCATCGCAAGGCTGACTGCTGAAAAGCTGATCTGCAGATGTCTGACTGCTACACCGACGGTACTCCGGCTATAAATCCATAAAACACTTAATCAAACACTAATAACTTCTCTTAGGGTAAAATGACTATTTTACCCTTGACCAAGTCAAAGTCAAAGTCAAAGTCAAAGTCAACTTCTAGTTGACCCGAATCGCCGAGTTGGGCCGCCAACTCGTTGAGTCCCTATCCTTTCATCTGGCCTTCTTCATGCCTCTACTCGTCGAGTTTGGCTACGACTCGACGAGTTCTCATTCTAGAATAACTCCGAATGAGCCTTCATCCAACTCGCCGAGTTGTATCAACAACTCGTCGAGTTCATTACCATCCTTTGAACAAGTCCTGCCCTTGACTCGCCGAGTTGTATGAACAACTCGTCGAGTTCATCTTCAAATGTTGGGAGATTGCCTTGAACTCACCGAGTCTGAACATACACTCATCGAGTCCCATGGTTCTCAGGTCCTTTTTCGCATCTAAACATCAACGGGACTCCCCTCCCTAACAACTGGTCCATTCGTAGAATGGATTTGGTGGTCATCATGCCTCTACTCGCTGAGTCCCAAGAACAACTCGGTGAGTCCATCCTTGACCAATACTATACAGTCGATTTAAATGGGCCTTAACACATCAAAACCATAGATCTGGCCTCCTAATGTCCATTTTATACGTAAAGTTCCAAACTTGGTGCACATGCATGGGGTTTTTTGGCTCAAAAATCCATAAAAGGTGCTCTACAATGTGCATGGGGCTCTCATGGCCATAAAGTTGGCACCTTTATACCATGAGACCCCTCCAATGACTCAGATCTGAAAGTAGAACTCCATGAATCCCATCACAAATCCGGAAATGGCTTAGAAAGCCCTAAAGGAACCCAAAATCTAAGCCCTAAAGATGAACAACCACAAGAAAGACCAAAACAGGGGGCATTTACCTTGATTGAGCTGAAAATGGGATAAGATCTCTGGATCTACAAGCCCCAACTCGAATTCCCAAGCTTCCTCCTTCCTTCCAAGCTTCACAACCACCCAAAAGCACCAAAAATGGCCTTAGATCACTCAAAGCGGCTAGGGTTTAGATAAGAGGTGTTCTGGGAGCATAAAGGACAATGGAAGCTGCAATAAGACGTTTAAATAGGGTGCAAACCCTCAGATTTAGGTTTTCCCTCAAACAGCACCTACTCGCCGAGTTAGTCTCCCGACTCGTCAAGTAGGTCACTGAAAATGCTTGCGGATCGCGACCCTACTCAACGAATTGGGCCACCAACTCGTCGTGTCCTAGAGGAAATACATAAATGCTTAAATTAAATGCGTACCGGGAATCAGGTGTTACAAATCTCCCCCACTTATTTCAGACTTTGTCCTCAATGTCTGATGCTCGATCCTGAAAAAGCTCGGGGTAATGCTCCCTCATATCGTCCTCCGGCTCCCAAGTCCATTCTGAGCCCTTGCGGTGCTGCCACTGCACATTTACCAACTCCACCTTCTTGTTCCTCAGATCCTTCGACTTCTTGTCAAGGATTGCCACTGGCCGTTCGATGTAGTTCAGGTGTCATCAACCTAAATATCCTTTGAAGGCACCACTGCCGAATCGTCCACCAAACATTTCCGCAACTAGGAGACGTGAAAGGTGCTATGAATCTGACTGAGCTCGGCTGGCAGATCCAACCTATATGCTACCATGTCCACCCGGGCCATAACCCGGAAGGGTCCAATGTACCTGGGGCCCAACTTTCCCCGCTTCCTGAATCGGCTGACGCCTTTCCAAGGCGACACATTGAGGAGAACCATATCCCCGACCTAGAACTCCAGGTCTGAACGACGCTTGTCGGCATAGCTTTTCTGTCGACTCTATGCAGTTTGAAGCCTACTCCGGACCTGCTGAATCCTCTATGTCGTCTTGAGCACCACTTCGGTGCTCCCCATGACCCTTTGGCCAACCTCACCCCAGCATATCGGGGTCCTGCACTTCCTCCCATATAACATCTCAAAGGGAGGACAGTCAATACTCATGTGGTAGCTGTTGTTGTATGAGAACTCAGTCAATGGGAGATAAGTATCCCAATTACCACCGAAGTCTAGCACACACGTAGCATATCCTCCAAAGTATGGATGGTCCGTTCACTCTGACCATCCGTCTGAGGGTGAAAAGCGGTGCTAAAGTGCAGTCGAGTACCCATCTCATCATGGAACTTCTTCCAAAACCTGGAAGTAAACCGTACATCTCTGTTTGATATCACCGAAACTGGCACCCCGTGCCGCGCCACCACCTCCCAGATGTAGATGTCGGCCAATTTTTCGGCCGAAATACTCTCCCGAATCAGAATGAAATGGGCTCTCTTGGTCAGCTGATCAACGATGACCCAAATCGAATCCACCCCTCCCGCTGTGACATCCCCATTTTCACGGCTAGAAAAGACCGATTTTATTTATGCTTTGTTTGAAAATCAAAGTAACATTTTAAATAAAAATGTTGCGGAGTTTGTCCCAAAGCAAAATATGATAAAGATTTATCAAAAGCATTTCCAAAGAAATGTATTTCATTAAAAGACTCGGGATGTCATGTTCGATACAGATCAAAAGCTTAAACAGTACAACATAAGCCTTACTACATTATTTCGTATTTACAGGCCTATAATCTATTATCTCTCATCCAAACATCTATGCTCATGCGCCACTACCTGTAATACAAGAAACTGAGTGGGTCAGGCTTGAGAGCTTGGTGAGCACATAAGGTTTTCAACCCACAATAAATAAGTTCTATTAATTTCATCAAACAACAATAACCCGATTATCTGTTCCCGTTATCCTTACTTTATGTCCCTAAACATCTATCATAAGGGACCTAGCCTAAGGATCATCATCGGGATGGACACTACTGCTAAGGGGGTTCGTCAGCAATAAATGTCCTAAAGGCAACCATGAGAGGGATGGAGTACACCGGTGAACTCATTATAAGTTCCTAATAATGTTACTATAATTATTTAAAAGATATATTAAAAGTTGCGTATGCGTAGCTCACTTACAGCGGATTTTAAAGAAAACCGGACTTTGCTCGAAGCAACGTTTCGAAACCGAAAGACCCTTTTTATTGGGACTTCGGGAGCCTCGGGGCTTCCTTCGGGTCCTAGGGGTTCACCTAGACTTTAGGGAGGGTTCAAAACCCTAGAGAGAGAAAGTAGTAAGAGAAGAAATGAAGAAAGGTGTGAAATTTTCGGAAAGGCTCACATGCTATTTACAGCCTCCAGCAGCCTCGGACTATACTGCGCGTCCAACAGCTACGCTGGGCATAGTCTTGGATAAGGTTGCCAACGGTGCACAACTGGCTCACACTCGGACACGACCTGGATAAGGCCGAAGGTACGCGGGGCGTAATGCGAGGGGCTACGTGTCTGAATCCGAAGCATGCACTGATCAGCGATGGACGGTCCAGATGTTGCCACGTCGCCTATCTTGCATCAGGTCTTGCAATTTGCACAAGTATTGAATATGAACGGTTTATTCAATGCCTCTAAGGTTTATGAACATTAATAAACCTTAGAGGCATTGAATATGAATATCAATTCTGATCAAGTGTCATAGTTGCTTAACAACTCAAGTCACACAAAATCCTAGTCTTTTTTCCATCTCAATACACAAGACATTTGGAAAAATCAGACAAGTGAATATTATAGCATATATAATCGATCCGGTATCTGAAGCATATGGGACTCGATTTTTTTTTATCTTACATAAGGACCTTGTATCTATTGCTATGGTATTTTCATATACTGAATTTCCTTTGTTGAATCATTTCAACATGATATTTATACATTTCCAAGACTAAGTTCTATGAAACCCTTCAATCTAAACTTTCAGATTTGAAACGAAGTATGAGTGCCCTCTCCCTTAAGTCTATCATAGATAAACAATTCCCAAACTTTTCAATTTGCAAATTCAAAACTTTGTTTCCTACGAATAGTATTGCCAACACACAAAATTCTAACATAACAGTTATGCTCCCACTAGCTTAACAATTACCTAGAAATCAACTGGACTTCTAGAAATCAATACTTTTGACTTTCTTACTAAAGTGCAAATTTCTGATAAATGATGCTTCGATAAGTCTCCAACTAGACTTCTTAAGCATATACAAGGGTTGTGCAGAAAACTGCACAAACCACATAAACCGCCCGCATCGCAC